AATCTCAACCTGCAAGCAATACACACAATAATAAGCCATAGGCAATATTTGAGTCAGGCATACTCCAGACGAAACCATCTTAAGGTGAATGGTGATTCTTAATTCAGTGTCAGAGTGACCGGGTGTCATGAAAGAACTGTGATTTCATTTCGATGACCCTAAAGACTGAATAAGATGCGCGACTTTGAAAATAGATCGAGATACTAATGCAATATACAAACTGAAAACAAAAATAAATGTGTTTGAAATTAACATGCCCAATGGACACCCCATGTGAGTCTGTGATGCATGTTTCATGACTTCACTCTAATAAATATATATATATAAAAAAGTACAAGGTGAGACAAAGGTGAAACACCTATTACAAATAGGTGAGAAGAATTTGTAGTAGATACAGATATATTCATTTTCAAATGGCACTCTGAGGTGAGATTTTAGGGATGTATATGTATGACGCAGTTAAGTATAACAGTAAAGATATAAGACTATTTCAATGATTTACAGTGAAAAGTATTGAAAGATGAGAACGGATGATAAAATATGGCAATGACTGAATGTATACAGATAGAATATGTTCACTTTCATTTTCAATTAAGTTAGAGAATTCCCTCATGAAAGGTTGCAACAAACATAACATAAATGTCAAATAAGCCAATTTTCAGAAAACATTATAGGCGACATTTATTTTGATAAGAATCTATTTGCATAAAACTTCCTCATGAAAAACTTTTTGGGAATATTGCTTACAGTGATGTTGAAACAAAAAGTGAGATTACTTTTATTTTGTTCTAATACTCTCAGATAAGGAGAATTGTGCAAATTTCAGCAATGTGTGCGTGCTCCTCTATAAACTTACTTTCAAGGAATGCTAACACAAGCTGACACCTGTCAGTCTCCTGTCTGCATCCATGCTGCAGCTGCTCACCACACACTTTTGAAACCCAGACATGTGCCCCTGGATAACGTATGAAACAGATCAGGTTCACCTTCATTTGACTGAAAGCATGAGACCCTAACAATGAATACTCAAGACTAAATTGGTTGTTTTTTTCATGCTTTGCCAAACAAGTAAAACTGTCCCTGATCTGTTTTGAACTGATCTTCAAATCATTAAGACAAGAACTTCAATTATTTACTTTAATGATGATTTAAACCAGAAAAAGAAGCACTATTCCTTCAGAAACGGGGCTACATTTCTCAGTGGATTTGAGAACATGGCAATATCTCTACAAGATTAAAGCAAGACAGCCTTTTGTAGATGAAAAAAGCAAAAAAGATAAAAAAGACTAATACAACCTAAGGAGTCAAAAAGAAAAATCAGTGCCAGTGATGTTGAAATTAAAACTACTATTTACTATGTCTGTCAAATACCTGTATATGACTCAAATCCTCTGGGTAGAACATAATTTACCGTTATAAGACATTGTGTCACTATATGAGGTGTGGATCTACAAACTGCTAGTCTACCATGGAGCCAAAAGAAGGCGATGGAGAGGCAGCCAGTACTAGCAAATAGCATTATGAGAGATAAGAATAGAAGAGATTAAAAATGCGGTAATTATAGTAATGTCTGCAGGTTCTGGTGAGAACAAAGAATAAGCATTACCTTTGAAACCACAGAAAGAAAGGATGCAAAGACTGGCACAGAATAAGAATTTAACAGAGTTTCTAAAGGCCATACAGGACAGGATATTGTGAGGGCCTAAACCAAAAAACAGAAATATTTCTCAAGAAATTGGCCAACAAACAATGACCTCGGGAGGTATAAAACTTTCATTAGTTGGGCCTATATTTTCGATGGAAATATGTTTGAACTGACTGTTTTGATCCATAAATCTGCTAATGCAAACTTAATGAGCCAAACAGGAAACTCTGTTCCTGACTTATCCTTGCACATGAAATGTCATCAAAAATATTTTGTCGTGTGATGCACAACACTTTTTTTAGTCTTAAAAAAGAACAGGATGCCATTTACTTCTTCATGGAACATTAGCATAGTCTGCTTTTTCCTAAATCTATTCTGTAACAGGACAATACCTCCTAATAAAACCGAACTGATTAACTTTTTCTTTTCAGTGAAAAGATAAGCAATAAATTTAGCAACAGATGGTTAATCCCCAATGAGATTTGATTTCTACCTCAATAAATTGCCAATCAATCTCTAGAATTGAGAGAGAAGGAAGCCAGATCGACAAAATCCACAAAAAGGTAAAAGTTCTCAGAAGTGCTGGTTCCACACACAAATGCATTACATTGTAAGGTGTGTCCACACAAAGATTACAGAATCTTTATTGTAAACCTTCACAGCTTTCCTCCTTCCTGAGCTAAACTCAGATTGTTTCTGATGAAAAAAGCTGTGGGACTCTTCTTTGTTAGTTGAGGGTCATTTCATCCATTTGACCACTAATTTAAGCTGCAGTCTCTGGAGAATTCTTAACAGTGCATGTTAGATCTGGACACAGAGAGTGAGCAAGAGGTTTACTAAACGGATCTCTTACCATTTTTTGTGGGACAGATTTGATATTTTTAGAAACAGCTACTGTTAAGAGACATTTCTGATCATTCTGCTTCTGACTGTAAAACATACAACAAACAACTTGCAATTTTAAATGATGTGAGAGTCGGAATGTCTGCCAATGTCTCATTTGTTTGGAGACATTTGGGTGTACACGTGCATGTGCTGTATAAGTAATTCAAATGTAGAATTTAGTTAAACGGATCAGTTGTTCATGTCCCTGGCAAACAATTAAACATTCTGGAATAACAGGAATAAAACATTTCTTCTTTCATTTAATTGTGTTCAATTAGGCAAATATTTTACTTTTCTTCATTTTGTAAAGAAAAATGGGAGACAGTTACGTTTATTTTGACAAATCTAGTTCTAAAAATAAATGGAGAAAGTTTTTTATCAAACCCTTTTTTCTTTAAAAACATAGAACCTGATATATTGCATATTACAAACAAGTTAATTACTTTATTTTTGGAATACGCTGCAAGAGATTAAGTCATTTCTTATCAAGAACCACATTTACTATATGCCTGCAGTGACTTTTACAGAAGGACCTGGTGTCCCCTACAATTCATCAATTCAGTTCTTTAAAGAGGGCCTCTTTATATACGAGACCCCATTTGACCATAGTGCCGCAAATCTATACATTAGTAATCAAAGTGAGAAGGTTATCCATACCACATTAACAAGGTCAACCCACTTCCATTTTGTAGGTGATTTGAGGAGAAGGCAATGTCAGGGAACCATCATTATTTTGTCATTATTGCAATTTTTTTGTATTTGTAAGTAGGGTAGTGAACGACCAAAACTCAAAATACGAAACTGAAACCATGTCTGTGCTGCATTTGTCCTCTCATTTCTTTTTCCAGTCGCCACCGTGAAGCCAAAAATCTTGTATATGCCACGCACATGACATAAAATGCTAATCCCATTGTTTCAATTCTTTGTTGTCCTGGACAGTCGGTTTTGTAGTTAAGAAAATCTTACATGGCCTCCATCCAATTTCCCACCAGATAATTTGTTTAATACATTTCCAATGGACGCTACAAAAGTATTTCTCTGCAGAAATCAGATTATAACCTTTATTCTGCCATGTTTTTTCAGCGTAGTCTGGAGAAAGCTTTTTTGGTCACATGTAAAGGAAACTAGTCCCCCAAGCGCAATTCATGGCAGTAACATCCGAGCTGGAGACATTGAAAAATATAGTTTTAGTAATGTAACACGTTCCATCTTAACTTATTTCCCAGTATACAAATTGAGTCGTGGCTATTCAATGTACATTTTGCAATATGCCGCAACAGTCGTCCCGGTCATGTTTTCAGTGTCCCGGCTTTAGTTCAGTCCAACAGAATGAGCCCATCTAACTGACAGCAGGAGTCATCTGGCTTTCTATCAAATATTCAATAAAAATATAAATATTGCATTTTATGTTTCGATTGTTTGCTTCTGAGCTGACAAGTTTTCCACAGAACTTCTCTTGACAAAACTTGACACTCCCTGCGGTTCAGTTCTCTCCTATTACCAGTCACCATTTAGCCCAGCAGGAGAGCAGAATCCCATGAATAAAATCTTTTCAAGCAGGAAATGTTGATGGAAGAATGACAAATGGAGCATCCTCCTATCCAAGGGCCAAATGTAAGCCGATGACAGAGACGTTGTCAAAAAAATATGATAACAACACAAAACAGCACAAGCTGAAAATAGATTGTCAAATCATACAATGTGATGGACAGATTTCTGTACTGCTGTTTTCCTCCTTGTGACCTCAGCAATTGTTCTCATTTCATTACTAAATCAAGGTTTGAAAAATATCTTTGGATTTGTTATTACTATGGTATATTATTACTATGACATTGAATATATATAAGAATATATATTCAATACTGTTGAATACTGTATAAATATTCAATCTATTGAAAATATTCAGTGGCTGCCATGAACATTCTTTGCATCCATAAAGCATTAGTCTCAAACCACTTGAAGTTCAACACTTAGCTGTTCACTTATTCATAAGCACAACACAAAAGTGTCAACAATGTCAAGCTATATCTGTGTTACTTAAAGCGTTGCCGCATTAGGTAAAGTTACCCAATCAACAACGACAACAGCAGCTTCCAGCTCGCTCTTATAGTTTGCCTGTAGGAATCAGACAGCTTAAACGATTACACAAATCATACCCTTATTTGTACAGTATCACAGCAACCTATGTCATTTTCTGTTTTGAAATGAAAGGCAACACACTGTAAAGTAGCAAACACTGGCAAGCATAAAAATGAAGATCTAATCTGGAAGTGTCTAATTTTTGTGAGTGCTATTTTATGTAACATGTTCTCTGTGCTCTTTTCCCTCATTCGTTTAATTCATTAATTCAATTTGACCACATTACAGAGCCATGAACACAGACATAAATACGATATCAAATTGGTATCAAGGAGAGTGACATAACAGGAGAGCTTACTTTTTTTTTTTTTAAATGCTTGAATGTTCTTACCAATGTATTGGTTCCATTCTGGATCCAGATCAGCTTGATTGGCCAGGCACCCCTTCATCACATTAAGGCAGTAATTCTTACAAGGTTTTACTGCTGGCATGCCCTGGCAAAAAGGGCAGTACAGCATCTTCGTCAGCCCTCGTATACAAGCTGGAGTGCTGCTTACCTGCAAGGACACACAGTGTTAGAGCTGTCATTAGTGTTCTGAGAACACCGGTGAGATTTGTCACACTTTTAATCAAGCTCTGTTCTTTTACTGGTGATAGTAATCCTTTTTAAAAATGCAAAGCTCCTCATAACACAACTTGCAGTTTTGATGCTGGTGAAATTATTTAATCCAAGATGATAATCAGAACAAAAATATGTAGATTCAAATATAGGTAAACCTTTAAAAGAATACACAAATATAGATTATTTTCTGTCAATGGCATCCTGTCAAATACCTCCTTTCTAAGAAGCTGGAGAGAAATATGACATTTTATTTACTTCGGAGCTGGATTTGATGCAAAAAAAATCAAGTTATGACTCCTAAAATACATTACATTTGTAACGTCACAATCACGTCATCAGATGCCATTAACAGATGCAACTGTATAAATAAAGCAGCATTAATTTTAAACTCAATTAAAGGTCAATTTGGCATGCATGCGAAAACAGCTCAGATAGTTTTATTATGGGAGGAGGTTGTCCAAAACTAGGCGGAAAAAGACAACAATGCTGAAAAGTATGAAAGAATTTCATATTTGTTTTCTAGTTTAAGATAGCTACTGAAATATCAACAATACAAACTTAACTAACTGAACTACTAAAGTTGACCTTGTTACACCAGATTTCAGGAGATGAGAGTACTCAACACTCTCACCTTTCTTGCTCTCAACATCTAATATTTGCACTCTGGAGTCCTGTTGAGATGCTGGAATTGAAAGTTTCTGGGTCATGGGCTTTTTCATGAAGGAACAACAAGTGCTTTATACAGCAAATTTCAGTCAGAAAGTCTCATCTTTACGATGATACTGCTTTGCTATGTGCCATACACAGGTGTCTTTTAGTTTTTCTGTAAAACAGAACGTCATTTTATGAGTATTCTTTGTTGTTTCTTGAGTGCACGAACAAGTCTGGATGGTATGAGGCTTGTTGTGTTCAGCATGAATGAACTTCTTGCAATTTTCTTTGGACAAAAGAAGATGCTTAATGAATATGCTGATTGTGATAAAGTGCCTTTTATCAGCCTACGCGTTGCTTCTTATGAAGGATTACAGGAATTTATGAGAAACAAAAACACTATGACCCCTTCAGCTACCACTTAATATTTTACAAGTATAAGCAGCCAAAGTGAGGGTGCCATGCAATTAACTAAAGCACAGATATAAAAACAAAATGGGAAAGCTTATATATATATATATTCCTTTTTTATAAGGCTCTTTATTGCGGCACATCCTTCAATACTGTAACCAAACAATAAGTTTGAAGGGGCTTTACTTTACCTACAAAAATGTGTTTCTCAATAAAACTGAGTAAAAAAAATTAACTGAATAGATAAAACAAGTTCTTTTCCCAGTTTTGAATCTCCCTCCATGCAGTCATGAGTGGATTCGTTCAAAGATGTTATGGTGTGTGGTAACTTTGTTTTAATGCAAACACTTCAAGTTACATGAAAATAGAAATGCACTCGTGTGTAATATAATTAAACAATCTCCGAATCCAAAAATATTCTTTCTGAATACCTGGGCAAGCTGATGATTCAGTTTATTTCTATATTTATATCTATATGCTTGTATGATTAAATTTAATCTCAATCATCAAATGAACAAACTACTGTTGTTTGGCATTTCTTTGAGCTGTCCTTGTGCTTCTTTCAAGCTCTGCTGGATTGCGTGTTTTATCTTTTTCTCTGCAAAAACGAAACAAAGTTCTACATCAACTACTTTCAATTAATTATACTGCATGGATGCTACATCTCAGAGGCACTTTGAAACAGACACTTCTAGCGGGGTGTCTCATTTCATTATGCTTTCCCTCAATCTGTCATGATGAGTTTATACCCTGGGGATCAAAGGGCTGCAGTCTCAGACACATGACCTGGATCTCAGGTCCCACTGAAATGTCAAGAGGTGAAGCTGGGACATGTTGGCTTGTAAGAAACACGCAGTGTAACCCAGTAAACACGTACTAATAAGACATCCTCTGTGACTGCTTCTAAACGAGCCTAACCACTATTACTGGAGACGGGGGGGGGGTGAGCTAAAGAGATGGAAACAAGTTTAAAGTTCATTGAGTGCACTGTGGTGAGGACATACAAGAAAATGAATGCTGGGTTTTATTTAAGTACCACAACGTTATCTGCTTCTCCCTTTTCTCTGCTTCTCTGATGATAGAGGGTTACTATATTTTCATTGGCCTCTGCTTACACTGTACAGGGCATCTATAAATATTCATCACCGGACTGATAATTGAATCAAACTGATTACAGGAAAGAAAAAAACCCACTGTGGCTTGCAGTGGACTGAATCGGTGCTTCTCTCAACCCCTATGACATCGTCTAGAAGGAGCTTTGTTGTTGTTAAGTGTGACTAAATCCGAGCATTAGCCTTTCGCTTCTCCTTTAATCTAACTTTCTACATGATCAGAGCCACACACACTCCCTGGGCTATGTGCTATACTGCAAAAGCTGCATTAACGTTACATTGCTTCAAACAGAATACTACAGCGGCACCATGATTAATGGGCTGTGTGTACTGGCTGAACAAATATTAGGCGAGAAAGCAATAAGCAGTGTTAGCAGAAATGTCTTTTCTCTGCTCTTTCAATGTCTGGACATCTCTCCAGTGCAATTCACACACCCCTCAACACTGTTTTCTAGACAGTAACCAGAAGGACTGCCTTGACCGCCATATTTCCTGATGACATATATCAAGAGAGTCTTCATTTCTACAGCTGAACACAAACCATATTCAACCATCTGACATGTTAAAATTTGTTTGGGGTTTTATTAATCTGCGGTCAAAGGTTAGAACCTTCTAATCAAGAATCAGCAAAGAAAATGTAAATGTGTCTATGGTGAGGAGGCTGTTCATTGACCGTTTGTCATAATCATTATGTTTTATTATTATGTTATTAAAATAGTAGGGATTATATTTTACCTTAGAGACCCTCTGGGCCACTTCCCGGCCAACAGAGAGCCCTTGGACAAATGTCCGTGCAGCGATGAATGCACGGGTAATCTGAGCCTTGAGCTTCCTGGGCACGTCTCCAAAAGGTTTGAGCTCGTCTGTGTACTTGCTGATGCACTCCAGATAGTCCTCAGTGATGACATACTGGGAATTGAGCAACATGAACATACGCTCCAGCAACCGCGACCAAAAGTCATTCAGCATTTCCTCCAGGTTAACATTCCCTCCTGTGTAATAGCGCTTCAGCTCAGCAAACAGGTTCTCAAACACCTCTGAGTTCTGCATGTAAGGCTTGCCGTAAGTCCTCACAAACATCTCATTCAGGGACCTCTCTGTGTTCTCCAGCAGCTCCAGGAAGAATTCTGGGTTAAGATAAAAAAAGGAAAGAATTGGTTTGTGTCCAGGTATCTCACATGGAAGGTTTCATGGTAAACACGTAGATATTTTTACAGTCACTTACAGGTATATTTTCATATAACAGGAAACCTTTTTGGGAGTTTGTGATTTAATCAACAATGCAGACAGATCATTTGTGTAATGTCGGAGCTCAAAAATGAAGTCAGTCATTCGTTGAGAAGAAAACACAACACTTGATAATCTATAGGAGCAGATGTTGGTGTCATGGCAGAAAAAAAAGCTTCACAGCTTTGTTGCTTTTTATTTCCAGTAATTCACGTCTATGAGCTTTCCACATATGTGTCATTCTATGAATAGGTTTTGTGTTTGCAGTAGATAGTCCATTTTTAAACTAACACCAAATACAGCCCTGCACTATGATTTAAAGAACATATATTGCTCAACGATCTCCTAGTTTCATTCAAGTACGGCAGGCAAACCGCTGTCAGAGTAAGTCTAAAAAAATACGCTTCAGAATGATTATGATTACAAAAACCACTGAGCGAGGTTTGCTGAACTTATGCATTCTACTATTTAGTCACTCTATGTAGATGATATGACATCTTTGACTAATCAGAATATTTTCTACCATCTGCAACCCAACATGATAACTTTATCTTTTAAAAGGCATTATTTAAAATATCATTATTATCATTATCATTATTATTATTGTTATTATTTAATTCTCAAAAAGCTTCAAAACTCTAATATCTGGTACGTTGTTTAACCCTAACCTATTGCTTTAGATTTTTAAAGTGATACGAGGAGCATAATCTTCAAGCCCCTCTGCTGATGTCAGGCTGCAACCGGGAGGCTGGTAATGCATCCTGTTGGTCCCGTGTGGCTCTGTTTACCAGGCTTGTTCAAAATTAACCCTATGATACACAATAACTACAAATCTGAGAGGTTTGGAGGCTTTATCGTGGCACGTTCCTCTGGGGGGGTCTGCTTTTTCTGCTGTCAACAAACATTGTTGCTATGTGGAGGTGTGTTTGGTCTACAACACTGTTTCAGTAGGTGGTACATGCCTGTGGTTTTGCTGCTGTGGTTGATCATTGTTCATGTCTATTTCCTACAGTGTTCTTGTCTATTTCCTGCCTTTATCAGTTTGTTTGTCTGTTTATTTATCCCTGCGTGGCCCGGTGATGGACAGGAGATCTGTCCAGAGAGTACTCCAGTACTCCCACCTTTTCCACAATGGGAACTGGGTATGGAATATCTTCTCACACAGTTCATCGCAGCGAGACTACATCTCACCACCACATTATAGCCAATTATCATAATGGCCCAAAAAAAAGTATAATGGACTTGAAGTGGTCATTAGCTCTGAGCAGTGCAGGTGAAATTACAGATTGCAGCAGCAATGCTGGAAAAAAATGACATTTTTTAAACCACACCGAGCCACATCTAACTAATTCGATTAAGAGGTGCCCACATCAACAGGAGGTAATAAAATGCCTTATTTTCAAGGTAACACAACTCACAGTGTTTGTTTTGTTTTGTGTGTTTCCATGATTTAGAAAAATCCATTTTCAGCTATAAACTGAATAAGCTCATATCTTTTTAGCTTCTTATCTTAAGGTTGAAAGGTAAAGATTCTTATTCTGCATAAAACTGTGCAGCAGAAAACTGCCTCTGATTCATCACATTCTTTACCACGATAAAATAAAAGAAATACTTGCTTTCCTTATCACAATTATTTACCGTTCGTTTACACATCTTATAAGGCACGAGCGACAGTTATGTCTGTAATGCTTCCTCTGGGGAGCAGATAAAATTAGCTTACCTTCAAAGACGCTTCTGTACTTACCAAAAGATGGGCTTTATTTTTTCAAAATCCAGGACCAAACTATTTTTTCAGTATTTTTGAGACTATACAGTAAATGTTTCAAACAAGCAGATTATTTCAATATAGAATACTTCAAACATGATTTGTACACAAGTGACTTGTTAATTGTAATAAAAGCATAGAGAATAAGAAAATAATTTTAGAAAAGTGGATTTTCATTAACAAAAATGATTTCCGTGCCGTCAGTTTTGGCTTTGATATTATCAGCATGTACATAATATTATTTTAGTATGGCTAATCATGGATGGCATGTTTGATTTAATTATAAGCTCTTTTATAATTATTAGGATGAATAATAACTGCACATTATAAACTGGCTGACAGAAGTTGAAGCAGTGAGTTGAGAAGGCATCATAAGAAGTGAACATAGAGGTGGGTCGTATTTTAAATGAAAAAGCTGAAGAAAAAATGTATTTGGAGAGATTTGATAAACCAGCATTTGGACTTGGTGAAGAAGAGGTTATGTGCAAATAAACGCTGCAAGAACTGCAAAAGAATAGTGCTGAAATTGTGGACAGCATTGGATCAAACACCGCATGCAGAAAGCTCGTAGCATTTCTGTGATAAAGCGCAGTTTGGCTCAGACTCCTCACTGTGTAAACAGAGTCCTGCAGAGATAGCATAGAGCTCCCCTATGATAAAAAGAAAAATCTAAGTTACTGTGCTTCTACAGAAATCTACAGGTCCATACTTTGTGTGATGTCAAGGAAATTTGCAGTCTTTTTCCACAATCCTGAGACAAAGCTTTTCTGTTTTAAGCTAGCTGATGGAGAGGGAACATTTAGTGAAATTCATTTCTAAACAGACCTTTTTTAGCTTTTGGAAACAACATACACTACGAAGTCAACCCAATTAACACAAACAGCGGAGGGAGCTGTGGAAAGGATGACTTCTACTCTGAGGACTCTCATGGGAAGTGGCTTGCAGAATTAATTACTACAAAGTCTCTTGAACTGTGACCAGCCAACTAAAAAGGATAATGGGGTTGGTTTTCCACCTCTGTTTGGCTGTCATCCTTTAAATAATTGCAAAGTATGATGGTGAAAAAGAAAAAAGATGTACACAGTTTGGCAAATGATAACCTAACATCATCAGACTCTTATCTATACTAAAAAAAACTTGCTAAATAAGACAACATCTGGGGCAGACATACAATTGCCAAGTTTAACTTTGAGATAAATGGAATCAGGATCATTCAACAAGGGACAAAGGACTTTTCTTTAAAAATATATTTAATTCGTAGACAAGTAGCTAAAGAGGTATTTAAGCTTTGATACAAGGATCTTAAAAATGTCAGAAGACTGATCTTGTGATGGTGGAAAATATGTAACAGTGTTCCAAAAGGGTATAAATACCGGATTGCATTAGGCAAACACAATTATGGACCACATTGCAGAAACTAATACAATTAAGTGAACCACCATTTTTTAAGAAGGCCTCTTGAATCAGAAATCACTTAAGCATTTGTTAAAATTACATTTTTTTCCATCAACATTTTTCTTCTTCCCTGATAATTGGACTTGGATTGTTATGGAGTGGTTCAGGGAGCAAGGAACATGATTTTCAAACATCAATTGGCTACCTGAGAATCCAGACATTAACCTCACTAACCTTTTGAAGACTTTACTTTCTGTTCATACTCTCTCATAATTTCATTAGCTTTGTTGTAATGAAAAACAACCAACTGCCCAAACAACTCTTTCTATTTTCCAGAGAGGAGACCGGGATTGTAACTTAACCATGTCTAGAAACCTGTAAAATACCTTAAAAAACACCAAATAAACAAATATCAAATAGACACATTATAGCAAAAACCTTTCCAGCAGCCAAAAAAGTACTTTGTGGGCTTTTGATTCTAAACATTATAGACATTCTGATAATGCTACCCTTTTAACTCTGGCTAACTTCTGACTTGGTCTACTTTACTTTCTCTTTGTCATTATTGTAGTATTTCTATTATTTCCATCGCTTCTAGTTGTTACTCTTTCTCTGCCATGACTGTGCTATCTGCTAACTGCTGCTTCAGTCTCTGCCTTTTGCTGCAATCTGCGGACTATGGTGACACACAAATGATGTGCTGCTGGTTGTCCAGTCAATCTATCTTTGCATTTGAATTGAGTGCCTTGGTAAATGTGCCCCAATGTAGCAGCTAAAGCGGTTCCAAGAACACGTTACAATGGGTGAATTTATTGGTGGCCAGGCAGGGGTGGATTTATTTGGAAAAGTTTCACCAATTAAAAACCCACAGAGATTTGTGTCATAATCTTTATGAAGTTGCAGTGTGCTGAAAATTGCATATCAATTTAGTGGTAAAGCACAGCCCAGAAGCTTGTGAGACAGAAAAGCTTGGTAAAACTCACTATGTAAGAGAAAAGCAGTAGAATGCTAAACATTGCACATCATTCATTTTGTATTTGTATGATCTGACTGCAGGTTTCAGATGATTCCCTGCCTCTTCACCTCTGACTCAGATGGAATGGATCCTTTCAAAAGATTGTAATACTAACATGAAGCTCACTAATGGTGCGTTGATGTCAATAGGGTGCGTTGCAATAAGGTGACTTGGCCCACCCTGTTCAAACTGCCAGAATGATGTCATATCAAATTCTAAGGCCTTAAACCTAGGGCATGACACTGAAGAGGCCAAACGGATTTATAGCATTTTTTCTGATCAGAAGTCTCCTTATGATCACTTGTGAGAGCAGAAAAGTTATCCGCAGTGTCACCCAGAGTACAGTAAACTGGGGAGTAAACAGTCGTTATTACCTGCAGAGAGCTCACTGCTCTCTGCAGGATTTCAGCTAGACAAAGAAGAAACCCATCTCTTCCTATGTACCACAGAAAGAGCAAAAGATAACTCACACAGCTTGGAATCCAGCCTTCTTGAGGTTTCTTCTCTATACATGAAACTAGCTATTCTTCAGCACTTCGAATTCCTCATGTCAATCATAAGCTCAATCATTGATTGGTCTGTCAAAGAGTGGCTGTCTACAGAGAGCTGCTCTGAGAGCTCTGCTACTGTAGAAAACATGACAGGCTGACCTTTCATGCCTCCATTTCCTTGTGTTAATTCCTGTGGCCAGCCTTTGGTGAGTCACACTGTGGCACTCACAAGCACAGTTGTTCAATATGCAATGCCAGATAGTGGGATAGGAAAACAAACATATGGAAGGCAGTCAAGAAATATATACACTGCGTCTTATATTTGACTTTTTAGTCATGCAAAAATCCTTCATAGTTTTCGTACAACAGTACTTTGACTTTTTTGTATTCAGTACACTATCCGAGTCTCTTCTTGGATGGCCCAGTTTTATTTTCAACCAAAAGAATGGTTTTGCTGAGTAAACATACAGCAAGTCTTTTCAGCACAACAAAGGTGAAAGGTGTTTAATTTTAGCAACCTTTAAGGACCTTCAAATAACAGACCGTTACTGTTGGCAGCAGTGGCTACCCACCATTACAGTAACTTCATTAAACAGAATTTGGAGAATAGATCGCATGAAAATGCTGCATGGAAACTAATTATCGCATATATGGCAGGTTCAGGCAAAAAAAAAGGAAAAACAAAAGAATTAACAATCATCAAACCTGATATGGTCCAAAGTCAGTTTGGAGAAGAAGTGTTAAGTGCAACAATTTATTTTTGTCAATCTTTTTCTGACAGCCTATGACAATGAAAAACTCTACAATTAGCCTAATTTGTTACCAAATGTTTGTAAACTTTTGGTCTTTTTTTTGTTTTTTTTGAAAAACTGAACAATCTTATTTTTGTGATTTTCGTTTTTATGCCCCATCGTCTTCAGGACCTGCTGTCTTTTTTCTAATTAGCTGCAATCTATCAAGTACCAATGTGCATCCATTTTTGTTTTTTCTTAAGTTCCTTTAGGTAAGAAATACAGCTGGCAGGGCAGTCTGTCTCTGTGTATTAGGCATGTGATGGATCGCTAACTTGTTAAGGCTGTAGCGTGCCTCTTTGCCACTGGCAGCGAGGATAGGTACAAGTCCCTTGCAACCAAAAACATTATTAAAAAGCTGCAAAATGTGGATGGATGGGCATGGAAAAAAGTGACAGGGTTCTAAATAGTTTAATATATATAGCTAGAGATTCTATCCTCCTGTTACAAATGGATACAATAGTTAATGTTGAAATGTATAAACACAAATTTGTTCAACAAATGTATATGTCAGTGTTATGGAGAAACCTGTGTCACCATACATATCAAAACAAATTGTACTGTTTGTTACCTTAATCATGATGTCAAATTTCTGCCCTTTGTTGAAATTTCAAACACAATCATGGATATCGGATGCATGGTAATTTAGCTTCATTAAAACTATGTAGTCCCTTGTTTTTCTCAAATTAATCCGAGATGAGAGAGTGGACAAGTAGAGCCTTTAAACACATCTCTTGATCTTTTGATGAAGCCAAGATGTCGTGGATAGTCTTGTGTGGATGGCCTCAGCAAAGCCAAAACCATGATCTCTCACTATGACGCAGAGAATATGTGTGGGCTGCCCAGCCACTATAAGCTACTGTAACACTCATCAAAGTCTGCTTAGTGAGAGAAAAATATACACATGCAGTACAAAGACTGTGTAGGTGGAACTGCAAAGCCAGGTGCTAAATAGATGTGAAAGGGCATCAAAGTGAGCTAAGAGCTTTGAATTGTTTAGATCTTTATGTGCAACGGATCAGCACCAGTGTAATTATTCTGGTACATTTATAATGGAAAAAATATAGGAATGCATGAAACACAACTCATCCCTGAAAAGCAATTTATCTTTGCTGACATCCTCTTCTCCATAAATGTCATGGACACCTTCTAAAACAATAAAACAAACAATAGGAAAGAAATTTCAATCTAGGAAACAATGTATGAGGTACATATAACTGACAATGTGTAAAAAACTCTAAGTTAGCACACAATGTCTTACATAAAACCTGCAAATGGCATTTTTGTTCACACTGATGAAATTACTGAGAGTGGCCGCAAACCCCAAGAGAAAAAAGATGCCTGGAGTCACACATCTAAGTGCTGCCGGACAAACCCAATTTCCCTCCTTACTGGGCTCCTCCACATCATATTTACAACCTTGACAGAGTATGATCAAAATAACGTTATTTATTTATGCATAGTTCCAGGAATCACATGCAGGTTTGAGAATTGTATATTCCAGGAAAAATAACAGACAGACATCACCGATGCATTTTGACATTGAGCTTCTTGGTAATGTGAAATCATGTGAGAGTTGCAGACTGCAATCTGATAGCTTTTGATGCATTTAATATGTTGATCCGAATAGAGTGAGGATAGAAGGAGAGGACATTGATTGCAGAGTATTAAACAGTTGGAGAATTGATAGTTAGGTCTGTGCTGCCACATCCTTCTTTTGAAAAGCAGATCAAATTTTCTGCTTGCTGAATATTTCATAATCTTGCTCAAATCTTGAATTTAATTTTCTACATCATACATTGACTGTAACATCACTACTGGTTTAACAAATTAGCCATCTTACCAATGAATTACTTAAATGCATGGGCACTGGACCTTTGGGTCATGTGCACAGATTTGTTTTGTTGTGAGATGGTGAGGCTTTTCTAGTTTTGGAGGCCACTGCTACTGCTGTTGCACTGTTGCCATTTTCCTGGACACTGCAAATTAACAAGATGACCACGATGATCCACTTGGGCTCTCAGTTGTTTTGATGTTGTGGAGGTTCTGTGTGCATCATATACATTATGAATGTTTAACGGATGCTCACAGATTACGTAACAAGCTCTTAATGATTACTGCGTTGTGTTTTTGGGGGGCTAATCATATAATAACAGCTCTGAAACATAAGGCCAAGAAACTTCAGTGTATGATGTTACTGGCAAAAGATGACAGGAAACTTCTGCGATTGGTTTACTTCCTCCCATTTGTAGCGGTTATTGATAAACATGAAATCATTGCAGAGTAGGTGGCAAATACTGCTTTGGTGTCTCGATTTATGTGTCTACAAAAATGTTGCCATCATAGAACAAAAAAAGAAAACAAAATAAACTTTTTTTTGTTTTTGCTTGCAAATAGCTGATCGCTGATTTCTGACCAATATATCAAAAATTATATTAAGGGTTAAAACAGCTAAGTGCATGAAATGATGTCATTTCTAGCCTAACTGAGTCATGTTTATTTATTAAATTATTATATAATGGTCCAATTAATTCATGTAATAATAAATCTGCATGGATGAGCTTACATTGTTAGGTGTTTCCAAGCTTTGTACATTTATATTTGATGTGAGTCTCATAATCCAAAAAAAGGGGGAGGTATATCTAATTGTGCTAAAATCATGTAGAAGTAAGTTATGTCAAAGTAAGGCATATAAAAAACAGAACATTTTACGCATAAACATATAACTAATTGACTTCATTTGTGCCACAATATTTCCAACAAACAAAAAGCATCAATCTACACCTACAGCTAAATGACAACTGTGGTTTTCCACATGTCGACATATGAGGATTTACTGTCACCTCTTTTCACAGGTTGAGTTCTGTGATTTTTCACTGCTCTTCACCCATTTTATTTGAATTAAAGTCAGACCCGCTTGCCATACTCTTGTTTATTTATTTGAAACATATATATTTTCCACCATACCATTACATATTCTTTTTCTGTAGAGATGTTTCCAGTGATTGTGACACCTTTTCCCTTTGGAGATGACAAGGAAATCAGTATCCATCGCAAAATTTTTGACTTGCAAAAGGTGTTATGCTGCAGTCATAAAAAATAAGAATATATAACAGTGACTACATTTTGCTATGGCTGACAAGTTTCACCTCCATCACCCCTCACCATTGTCCACAGTGATAGGCCGCAGCTTCCCACACAGTCTAATGGGTGCAGGAGGGATTATTATACCTCATTATAGTGTAGCTTGAAAAAGCCAACTCCATAGAGACATATAACAAGAGGGACAGTTGGAGAGTATTGTGTTGTTAGTTTCTGTAATTAGAACATCTCCTCTCATAGAAAAACTCCTTAAGTGTGTAGTGGTCCTGACAGTCACGATAGAGTTAAGCCTGTATCACTCACAGCACAAGGCCATAGCTAACCTTAATAATGTAGAGTTTTGGTCTTTTTTGCTGTTCAACCTGTCAATCCCCTGTGCAAGAAGCCATGTTTGTCTAATTCAACAGGAGGGCTCTGAGCACCAAAGCATATTAATGAGATTTTTACATCTGGTCTCCTCTTGAAGGCAGATAGCGAAACACAAAAAAATTTAGTTAACTCTTTTATATTAAAAAATGAAGTCTCGGCTCCCTTCAATCTTTACTTACCATCAAATCTTTTATGTCTGGAGACAAACGTGCTCCTCAAAGAATGACTTGTTTCGTCGAGGAGATTCTCAAAGTCCTGCTTACTCTCTTGACCAAATCTGTCCTCCATTTCTTGGGTGCAGCAAGTGTTTCCCTGAGGACAAACACGCAGATGTTCCCCTGCCAAGGAGAAAAATCACAACACAAAAACAGTTTCACAACAGCTGACAGACTTAAGACAGACTGACATTTAATATGCGGTACACTTTATAGCCACTGATAGAGATGCTGTGATAATAGACGAAATGGAAATGAATTGTTTAATTCTTTCCAAAATTTAAGAATGAAAAATAATATTTTCAGTCTTAGCTGAATTACTAAATTACTAAATTACAAGATCTCTAGATTACTAAAAGAGGTGTTTCCGTAGTCTCAAAATAGATTATCGGCGTTGTCTGTCCATAAATGGTCTTTGAGATGCATCAACAGCTTTACCTGCCTTAACTGAGTTGCTTTTATTTTCTAATTATTCAGCTCAGTGGACATGATTAGGAAGGAAAGCTATCCAAATAAGGTCACACAGTTGATCTGAAGAAGTTAAAATGCATAAAAAGATTAAAAGGCTCCATCACTCAGCAAGATATTTCCAAGATCTGTCAGTGATAAAGTACAGTCAGGTAACCAACAAGTTAATCATCACTTTAAATTAAAGCAAGAGCTCCATAGAGAAGATAGAGGTGCCACATACCAACTGTCCACCCTGACTGATCCAGTGGTCACACACAAGCATAACTAATAGGCTCACAATTAAAAAAAGCCTCACAAAAGCAATTTACCAAAGGCACCTGAAAGCCTTTCAAATGGGAAGCAAAATCCATTATCTGATTAAATTAAGAACACGCTATTTGAGCGTGCATTGAGGAAACCAGGAATTGGTAACAGCATCCCCAAAGTGAAACATGGGGTTGGCAGCACGGCTCTTTGGGGCATTAACCGAGAGACTGGTTAGGCTTGATAAAAGTTGAGCCCACAAATTTTTCTAACAATCTTGAGGGAAGGCCTTCTCCAGAGTATATCCAGGATGTCAGGCAGAGGAAGATGTTCACAATTCTACAAGGCAACAAATGAAACATCGTGGAGAAAAATAATTTATATATTCTTTCAAAATATTCTCTTGCATTACATTATTGATTGAAAAAAAGAAAAATCCCAAGGAAAAGTTTATGACCCAAATCATTTCATTTTCTAACCATATATTTTAAAACAGATGTATTTCAAACAGACCCGGGCTGCTGTAGAATTTCTTCCTCAACTAACAGTCTGCTGAACTCGTGACACGTTAGAAAAGGCACATGCTGCCTTCTGCTAACAGATCAAAGTTTTAGAGTTTTAGAGTTGCTTCTGCATTTGATTAGAAAAAAAGTTGAATTTTTCCACTATCGGAGCTTAATGTTAGAGGATAAAACATAACCGAATACATTAACAATCCTTACTGTTTTATCAAAATTCTGTTCAGTGAGTCATGCATTGTTTTAGGGATGTATCTTAGATTGCTTTATGCTGGAACAAAACAAGAAAAAGGCCTTTAACTACAAATAACATGAATTATGCCCATGGGGCAGTTAAAATCTTCTCCATAATCTGATCATAAATCTCAGTTTTTACATTATAATATGAAAGTTTTGAGCATGCAACATAAGTGTTGGCAGACAATGTTTTAAGTGATATCAGATTGTAATGAATAATATCTGCTCAATTGATGCATGTCTCGTGTGTTGAACTGTTAATTAACTAAATGATTACGCAAGAGGGTTGAGTCATTTTTAGTTTGCACGTGACTGGGTTTTTTATCTTGAAGATTTAGTAGAAATAACCTCCAACAACTGCTGTTGGCTTCTGGAAGTTAGGTCCTTGAGGTTTTCTTAGTACAGGGAGAAATCTGAAGCATTCAGGAAGGCTGTGATTTTTATGCAGCGCACTACTTCAACAGATGAGCCATGCACTCCGCGGCTTGGATAATCAAAAAAGATCTCAAAGAAAGATGATAAAATAATGACCTGTCCCCATTCCTCATCTGATTTTTAAAAAAAATTACATTTGTCTCTGCTTGAAAGCATATATTAGGGGTTTCTGAAGTCACTGCCAACATAAAAAATACAACTAGCAAGTACCAACATTTGAGTGTATCCTTTCATCAGATATGTCAAAAGGAAGGGCGGGGGGGGAATAAACTCCTTCTAGAGACAGCAACACCACAGTGTACTGTTGCAGTTGCAATGGAGGAAAACATCACTAAAATAAGCCTGTCATACATCAACATATGGGAAGGAGCTCTCAAGGGACTTTACCACTCAGCAAAGTGCAATGACCTTCCAAAACAAGGTTAAAACAGCACTGTAGTCTCAAAAACATTCTGTCTGATGGAGCACAGACATTAGCAATGGACAGAGGGGCCCAGATAGCCCCTAAATATCATGAAAACTCTTTCTAAGGTCATAAAAATCTATTAGACTGATTTATTTAGCCGAGAAACAAAATAGTTGAACTCCTTCACAGTAGAAAAGGCATATACCTAGTATTTACAATTTCCCTAAGATTCACACGCAACTTTTTTTTTCTTCTTGTCTGGGAGGATAATTTCTTATTTTAGTCAGGCCATGCAAAAGCACTTTTTCACACATATTACATCAGAGCGACTGCATGAAAAGAGACTTGCTGCTAAACGAACCTGGCCATAAAGCAGCCGTGTACTTTGCTGTATTACAAAACTAAATGTTTATCAAACCAGTCTTCCTAAATGTTTCTTTAAAAAAAATAAGAAAATACAACTTTCTGTTCGCTTCTAATTTTTCCTTCAGGTTTTTTAAACATGTTGCTGGAAACAAACAGACCAAATGACTATGGTTTTGTGAGCTCCTGAAAAGATTACAGCACCAGGACTTTCATAATTCCATAATTTTCTATAAGCAGTTGTGCCTGTCCTTATATCAGCATCTAGAAAATGTTCAATATTGTTAAGTTTGAGCTTTATTAACAGACAAATATGCAGAAGCTCATCAACTAGGTATTTTTTTATCACCACTGCAACACGTCAACATGTTTTAAATAATTTTGTTTCTGTAGGTTTACGCTGCTGTGAGCTTTCCTAACACTTTATGTCCTTTCTTATAAAGAGAAAAAAATAACAATGTTATTGTGACTCCTGGGAGATGCAGGGGATTTTTGGAAGAAGTTGTCAAAACAAAAATGTTCTTCAAGCGAATGCGTTGGCACAGCTACAGGACACTCTCCCTTGTTTTTTAACTCATCCGATCTTCACCGAGAAACATCTTATGCAGATGGGCTTCTTGTTTATTTTTGCCTTGTATGGTAGCAAGTACCACTTCCAAATAAAGATATCTGTATGAGCGAGCTATACTTCAGAAGCTAAGGGGGGATTATTTTCCTCTAATAGTCTCATCTCAAAGTTGGCTTCTGGCAAGTCATTCAGTATTAAAAGGACAGTAAGACTGGTACAAAAGGTCTAGATTCTGTCCAGCGTCAATGCACCAACCTTCATCATCTATTTGTGCGGGGCTAACAGAAGGATGCGATACTTCACTTTCCATCATGCCTTAGGACCAGACTGTGATTAACATGCATACAGGGATGCAGATCCTACTCACATTAACATATTAATAACGAATCAGCAGCAGATTCAACACATTCTAATGTTAGAAACAGTTCATCAACACAATGCATTAACTTGGTGAAAAATGTAATGTTTAGTTTTAATGAGAGGGTATTTTTATGCACTCTGACATTTGATAAAACCTGCCCAAGCTGTTTTGAAAAGCTTCAATTATCTCATGTCACTCCCATGTCTGTAATCAAATGGATTGTCAGTCAAATCAGCTGCCTTATTATCAGTGCTAATGAAACTCTGAAAAGATATTTGAATTTCACCTTCTTCCTGCCCCTTCATAATGTTTAAATGCCATTTAACAGCAGGATTCCGCCATTAGTTTCCCAATATGCAAATATGTTTAAGATGTTTTTTTTTCAAATGTGATTCGTCATCTGTGTTACGCAGTCTTATGATGTAGAGCTTGATCATACATGATGCACATTTTGTTCGTTTGCCAAAGCTGACTTTGAATTTGCCTCTCAGAGCTACTGCACTAAATGAAGAATCGACACTAAAGTAGCACCAGAGAGTAGAGTCAACTGCTACTAAAGTTAGCTATCAGAGCCAGTTCTTCTACTTCTACTACAAAAAAGAAAGAGTAAGCCAGAAATATAACCGATTTTGCTTTCAGTTAGCAGCAATTTCTACCCCTTAAAATTGGTTTTGTTTGTCATCCTCTGTGTTTAAACCCACTTTGAATTAATATGGCATAATTTCCTTAATTTCTTACAGCAAACTATGTCTAAAATTGTGGCTGAAAATCAGCCAATAAAGGCAAAGTATCAGCCTCAAAATTCAATTTTAGGGCTGTTTCTAGAGAATAATAACATCGTGATCTTATGATGGAGTCTGATACAACCAGAATCCAAATAATTAAACACACCTCACAGGCACAAAGAATTAGTCCTACACCGTAAGGAACCTCATTCTTAAGGCAGTACTTGGGGTTGAAACAAAGGTTGCTTGATAAGTTACTGGCCACCTTTTTCAATAATAATTTTAAAAATGTACTGATTAATCTAAATATTAGCATAATCTTGCATAAACAGATTGCCAACATTGTCACATGCCATGGGAGGTGGGGAAAAAACAAACAAATTCCTGTTCTTCTGCTCAGTTAATGAGACTTTAAAGCCTGTGCACACAGCGTATCTAAATGAATTGTACTTCTTTGTCCTGGATCCAAAATCCTTTCAAATCATTTCCACACACCTGTATATAGGGTACACATTAGATGTGCCACCAGTCCATCACAGGCCCAAGAATGAGACAAATGAGGTGACACGTTCACACCTTTGGTCATCAGAATCTCCAATTAACTTAACATGCATGTTTTCAGACAGCATACTTGTCTGTTGGATTTGAAAGTCAGGATTTAAAAGGCTCACTTTCTTACTTAGGTTTATATGCAGTTGTAGAGTATAATTTTGGTAACACGAACAATAATCTATTGTACTTCTACTGTTGTGTATGTACCTACATTACCAAACAGAGTTAGCACTTCTATTTACAT